GGCAATGAATAGGATAATGGCAATGGCCGGCAGAGGAACCTTTCTGATCCCCGGCAATCGACGATGGGATCGCTCGGCCTGCTTCACGAGCGACTGGAGTTTCCACTTGCTCCCTGGCGCATGGTTCTGGTGGTTGCCCTCGGATGCGAGGTCCGGGTCGGGAGTTGGAGAGGTCGAGTCCCGCATGGTTGAGAATGACAGCCACAGGGCCTCGGATTTGTCGATTCGAGTCTAGGGTTGGGTTGATTGGAATGAGGGGCTGAAGGGCTGATTTATCCTCGGTCGGGTTGGGCCGTGGGGAACGTCAACTTTTTCTGGGCCGTGGAGGGGAGGGCTGATAAGGCAGGCAGTGATAACTATAAGAAATTTAGACGGTCGAATTATCAATGCCAACCGAGCGGTGGATCCGACCAGCGTCCAGATATTAATTGCCCAAGGCCGGTTGGTCGGTGGCTGTCCCCCACAGGGTCCTTGCTAGTTCTTCAACTGGAACCTCGGGGAGGCCCGGGTGTTGGACTATGCAAATACCTTGCAAGGCGACCGCCACGTGACCCGCCCACATCGGCCCTCCCCGCTTCTTCATCTCGCTATCTTCCCCTCCTACGTTACTGTGGTCTAGGCACGGTGTGTGCAGCAGTGTCATTCATTCGTGCAAAACTATCATACACATTTGTCTCCATTCTTTCGATCCTTTCCTCCAGGGCTATTCCCTGGATCGAATACGGTAGCCATTCGAGCTGGCGAAAATGCAATTCCGCGGACACTGTTGCAAGTGGTCCCTGCAGCTAGTTGGCCGGTTTGCCGACATGGCTCGGATAGCTCCACTCGGCTGGCATGCTGGGCGGGTTCCGAGGAAGTGGAGTACATCCTTACCCGGTGGATTGTGGGATTCCTCTTGAGGAACTGCCTCACGGTTGAGGGTGCATGTCAGGCCTAAAGGCCTTTGATATATATGTCAAGACTGCCTGGCATGACGCCAAGCGATCAACGGGTTGACTTCACGCGCCAGCCATAACCGTCGGCGACGGGGTCCACTTGGTAACGGTCGCCTTGCCACAAGGAAAGTCCGTTCGGACCAGCATGTTCCATTCATTCCGAGTGATGGGAGTCACATCGGATGCCGACAGTGGGGTCTTGGGACCTCGTTTGGTTGGCAGGTTATATCTCGTCGGCGGGGGGTTCTGTCGACGGGCTGCCCGCATGGCGCGAAGGGGGGATTTGCGCGCAAGCTCGGCCTTTGGCCGAGGGGGCATGATGATCCCCTCCTGCTTGTATTGCTTTCGGAAGGTGTTTGCCACCTGGGTGAGGAGCTCGTCGGGCACATTCAGCTGCTCATAGACGCGGTGGAAGAAGCCCCGGCTGAAGGGACGGCCATGGAAGTCTTTGATGGTGCGGTGGAGGAGTTGGGCGCAGGATGTGATGGAGGGTTCCTCGGGCGAGGTTCCCCGGTGGGAAAGGATGCACAGTCGGCGCTTGAGGGTGTAGATGCGGTCCACGTTCAGCAACGTCAGGCCCTCCCGACTGAAAATCACTTCATTCTGCATGATCGACTGCTGAATGAGGTAGTCGTGGGCCTGGCGCTCGTGCTGGCTCCGGTTCAGGGCATCGGTCCAGCTAGGGCCTAGGGAGAACTTGCCAGCTCCCTTGGCCACCGTGCGAAACACGATCCGCCAGGCAGTCTCATCTAGCGGGGTGATGGGGATGACGATGAGATCGGATGGTTGGCCCGTCGGGTAGGGCTTCCCACGGCCGACCAGGAGAGTGACGTGCATCATCCGTTGCTCAAGCTTGGAGGAGACATATTCAAGGGCAGGAATGATGGAAGGAGTCAGAGTCTCCGAGTCAAAGTTGAACTCGGGAGACAATGGGGAGGAGATCATCTCGCTGGTGAGACTTCGGGTGGGGGAGTTGGGCACATACACCCCGGCTGGGCGAGGCAAACGCATGACACCCATGGTGGGAAGGCTTAACGATCAGTAATATTAAGAAAAGGAGGCAAAGACTGGCAGTCGACACCACTCAACTCCAGTTTGGAAGTTGTGGTTGAGGAAAGAAGGGGAAAGGTGGTGATAATAAATCTTCCTTCAGCCCTCAGCTGTCAGACCCAAAAGAGGGGAAGCCCGGCGAGGGTGACCATCTTGGATCCAGGCTCCACCAATTAGTGCTGCATCACCCCTCTTTGCTCTATTTTGGGAGTTCCTAGGATAGTAAATCTCCCGGGCCCGCAACGCACGAGGACCAGTCATTGCCAATCGACCTGGATCCGGGGGAGTGGCACCCAATGGCTGGTGCGATATAAATAACCTTAAGCGCCCGTGTGACGGCTCGTGCAGCCCTTATGCAGGTTGAGCACAGTCATGGCAGCTGACTGGCGGGCCACCTCATCTTAGCGTCGATTCCTCTGCCAGCGTCCGGATCCCTTTTTCTCACGGCAGGCTGTCCAACGGTTGAGGTAGCTCTACCAACGGCAACATCACTTTCCAACAGAACTACTCCCATGATTGCACTGCATCAATGTTCTTTCCAAATCAGTCTTAACTCATACCGCTCTTTAATCCATTCACTGCCACTCCATCCACCATGGCATCCTCCGAAAATCACGCACCATTAAACCCCGAGCAGTTCAGCTGCCCCCACTGATAAGACCGTGCAGGAACTATTGATATCCTGCAGACGCACGGCGGTAGACTCCCCCTCCTGAGAGGCGGCTTCCAGAATGGCGTGTTAATAGTTCCATTACCCCGCCTAAGGCTGCCGTGTGTGATAAGCTCCTCGGCTGGATTGGATGGAAATGTGCCATGTGTGCTGCTGTCGTGGAAGGATTCTGTCCTCCGCCATGTGGGCTTGATGCTTTTTGTCAACTTCATAGCCGACGAGTGTGATATAATTCAGTAGCCTTGCGTCGGGGCCCTCGGGTCCTTGATCCCTTCCACATGGCCGGTGGATTTACCGCCGAACGGGCTGAGGGATTTGTCTTGTGCATTAGCCGGTCAATAGTTCCTTCACCTGCATGATTTGTGATGGCAGTTGTGATCGGAATTATGGCTCTTTTAGCAGTAGTGTAGTATGTGATTGTGTTCAAGTGATCCATCATATCTAGGTTACTCTTTGTACTGCATACTTGGTACTCCTTGCGCCTAACTACTGATATGGGTAATGGCGTGATCACATCGGACAAAGTACATCTTCATTCCGCTGAACCATGGCGGCAAGAACACCATTCCGGTTCATGACCTGACCATGTACGACAACAAAACTAGAGACGATCGAAATTCTCGTCAAATGATTACTCCTTCTATTTAGAGTCTATTGTTATGCACGATCTAACCGAGGCAAGCATTTTGGCGATGACATTAATTCACAGAAGGACGCAATCAATAAAACGTTACTGGCTAAGCCATTCACCTTCCATCCCCACCAAATCCCAGTCTAACGGCAGCTGGGTCGATGGTCCATCTTATCTATAGCCAATAACTTGAAGACCATGCGCAGTTTAAGAGAATCAGTAAGAGGCTCTGGAACTACCGACCGAGATACCTTATCATCTTTAGCGCTTGGTGCATCAGACGGGCTCCGGGTCTTCACGTGTTGGAGTGTATTCCATGCCACTCCTCTTATTCTGAAGCTTAGTAATGTATTACACTGATGTACTACTTCTTCAAGCTACACCGTAATATATCACGGATAATAGTCCCAGTGTCTTCATGTGTCTTTATGCCTGGTATGTACCTGCATGGCTAGCAACGTAAACCCTGTGAGTAATAATAGATCTTGCTCATGAAAGCATACGGGACTCAGACACTAGGGACGGGATGCTTCTTAACGAATACCAATTAGACTAAGATAACGAAGTTGAATTAACGAACCTACAATTTTCCTTATGTACCGTGGAGTATCCCTAGTAGGAATACTTGTGGGAATCCTCCACATCATCACGGTCACCTTACCCCTCGTTGGTGTGACCTCTGTATGACACCAATTCCCCTTCTAAACGTTATCCTCCTCGTCCCTCTTACCAACATGTCCTGACAGGTCATGAGCCCTCTTTATCTCTGGGCTGAATTTCCGGATAAATCCACATTCTGTCAAATTAAATCGCCTACGTCGATTAAAGTCCTCTGATGATATTGAACCTTGATGGATTTTCTTCTCGATATGACTTCCTAATTGCCTCCCCCCCCCTAACCTTCGGGGTATAGAGCGAGAGATCTTCTATTTGTCCTGAATGGTTACACAGAAAATCGCTTATTTCTACCTCAGTGTATTACCCATGTGGATATGCTCCCGGACATCTGAAAGAACCACATACTCTACCTGCGTGTGATCATTATGTATATGCTACAAATGGCTCCTTAAAGCGGTAAACTCGGTGCTTTGATATGATAAGGATTTTTATTGACCCCTCGTTTGTTATTAAACGAATTCTGCTATCGATTTGACCGCTGAAAGCCATCACCATCCATTTTAGATCTTGAATCAATACGACTAACCCTTCTAGAACCGGCTCTATATGCCCTACTGATCTGCTTGAGCGGGGCCCCACTTACAGATATGATATTCTGCATGAATCGCCTATACAGAGCGTTCAACCTGGAAATCACCGCCGTGCTTCCGCAGTTGTGACTGCAACCTTCTTTGACAGCAAATCAGCCAGTCTCCTCGCATCGATTCACCTATATCATCCTCCGATCACACATACCGCATCACATCCCACCCTTCCCGACATCAGTCACAAACTGGAGGACTTGTACTACCTGTCTAGCCGTCTCGAAGTATCCTACACCCACCTCTACTACACAATCAACAACCAGCCACGCAACCCAACCCCATCTAACACGACCTCTTTTTCTACAATCCAATTTCACCATCTACCAATAAATAACCTCTCCAACCCCCTCTCATCCCCATATCCCAACATCCCACCCCCAAATCACCACAAATCACAAATAAATCCCAGTCCCGCAAGGGACCAAATTTCCCCATACTCCGTAACAATAAGCGCCCGGATGGTCTAGTGGTAAGCAATCCCCAACAACAATCCCTGCTCTTCTGATGCTAACTCCCAAGAAAGGTATGATTCTCGCTTTGGGATAAAAAAATGCGAGAGGTCCCCGGATCAAACCCGGGTTCGGGCCTTTATTTTCTTTTTTTTCTTTTTTTGAAGCTCTTTTTCGTGAGGATTTAGGGTGTGGGTATGAAATTAGGTGGTTTATATACATACATACATACATACACACACACACACACACACACACATATATATATATATGTATATTTAGTAAGGTACCAGAATATCATCCATAATTTCAAATATCCAAAATCCCATATCTTCTGAAACCAAGAAACCAACCCAAGAGAAGATATATCTAACAACGGTGTCATTCCTCGATATTGAAAAATTTTCGGACTGATCGACCACTAAGCTGAACCCATGTGTGCGGTTGGTAGCGGTGGCATGCTGGCGTGAACTGCGCCTGGCTCGGGGCGTTACTGGCTGGCTGGCTGGCTGGCTGGCTGTGTTTACTGTGTTTGGCGACGCGATGCGTGCGAATTCTCCGACGCGTCTTTGTAATGGATGGTATGATGTCGTTAATGTGTCGGATGGATTACTTTGTCTAAGTGGGGTTGGACTTGTGGTGGTGGTGGTAGTGGTGGTAGTGGTGGTAGTAGTAGTAGTAGTAGTAGGAGGCCTTAATGCTGGGATATCGGTTGATGGTGTGTGGTGTACTGATGATGATGATGATGATGATGTAGGTTTGGCGTCTGACAATGGACAAGAAATGTATAGGTCCAAGAGCTAGCGAGTTGTCCACACGGACGGTAATAGAGGCATAAAAAAAAGCATGGAATGGAAAGGGTTGGCCCCACCACACCTGATCTCGAAGTGCCTACAAGGATAGTTATCGCGAGTGCTATCAGAATAATATGTTACGGGAAAATGATGATGTTTCTTACAAATATATCACATCATATCATGGCATGGCATAGCATGGCATGGCATCCCTTGTACCGGTTTGACGGTGATTGCGACATGGAGTAGAGGCTTTACTTCATCCCAACCATAGAAAATCATCAATATCGAAAGGGGGAATGCTGGTCACGTCGCCTAGAAGACGAGACATCTCCAAGAATGACTGCCGAAGACGAGCCTCGGAACTGCCAAGATAAAGACTCTCGGAAAGGACATCAAGAGCCGCCAAGCACTTGGTGGCGGAATCGGCCACCACGGTGTAGGTTTGGAGAACGTGAATCGCTGCATCCCATATACGGTCCGCGGTTGCGTTTTTCGAAGGATTCTCTTTTTTATTCTCGAGGAAACGCTCCACGAGAATGATGGTAGCTGCGGTGAAGACGTCTAAATATATATATATATGGGTTATTATGAGTCAAATGTTGGATAATGAAGTTGAAGTCTCTTGGGACGACGCACATAAAACAGAATACCACCAGGATGGAAGCGGACTCGTTTTGGGACCCTCAGCGTCGAGTTTACTGTGGAAGATCTCGACCAGTTCATGTGCAAGTTGGAGCACTTGCGCGAGCATTGGAAGAGCATTATGTCTGAGAGACTCGAGTCGGCTGAATCCGGAGGTCTTTCGGTATACTCGGGCACTCCACGCTTGCAGTAGCCGATAAGGGCGGGACGAAATAGTAATATACGGATATGAAGAGAGCTGTTGACTCAATATGTGTGTTTTATCAGTAAGATAGGGGGGGGGGGGGGGCCTAACCGGATTCTTAAGATCGTGGCTTGTCGGTGAACAATGGAACCATCATTTCTGGCTGATGGCGTATATTGTAGATGGTTTGGAAGAGATCCCTTCCAGGCCTGGATCTTGCTGTCGATTTCAAGGGTGCTGGTGAGCTTGCTGTTGACGTCTATATCATGATTGGAATTGAGATAGATTTCAACCAGAATGTCATCCAGGATGAGATAAAGCTCGAATGCTTTAACGGAGAAGGCTAATATGCAAGGTTTCCCATCGGGTCGTGTGTCGGAGCCATCTGCCTGGGTATCGAAGAACTCATCATCAATCATGGATGGGAGAGGGACAGAGGTGAAAAGCCATTTGGGAATCATCCCTGGCCGGCCGAGTGTCGCGGATAGGACCCTACAAAATCAGCAAACACGGGATCTGTCGATACCAATATGGGCGGGAGGCTCACCGATCCAACCAGACACAGCCATGCCATGTGCGTCGTATATTCTCACGGACCCTCACCGTATCGAATGAAGTATCTTGGTCTAGATGAAGTCCGAGGCTCTGGGCCATTCGTATCGCTTCTCCGGCCGTCATCCAACATCGGAGAACATGGTCTGTGCTCTGCAAATAAATGGTCGACAGTAATAAGCACTGCACCTTTTCCAAGGATGGAATATACTGCGACTGCCGGAGGTAATACTCTGCACGGGTAAAGAAATCCTCACTCAGAGATTTACACTCCTCTGGCGGCAATAGCTCGCAGTAATGGCATCCCAGGGCAAAGCATAAATTGATCGTGCTCATTAACACCACCGAACAATCCGGTCTTGGGGAGCTCCATAGGGACTCGTAAGCGACCTCGACATGGCGTCGATCCACGATGGGGTAGACCGACCACTCGAATTTCCAATACGCCTGGACCAGACAATCGGCCAGACCTCTTGGAGGGAGAGCCGTCAACGCTGCTTTTTCGCCGGGCAGAGAATTATCTTTCAGTGAATGGTCTGTTATCCCTGTCAGGCTACGCCGTGCAGGCACATGCCCTGAGCCTTGGTCAACCCGGGTGGCAGCCTGGATGCGTCGCATAAAGGACCCTGCGCTGCTGCTGCCAAAGACTTCAGGGAACTGCGTGGGGTCCCCCGTCATGCCGTTCATTGAATCCACACTGGGTGGCTTACTCACGGGCATCTCCACGGATGATGTTACCGTTGAAGCTATGCCATGGTGAATGTTCCCACCGTCCGCCACGTCGGAGTAGAGCCTCGTGTCCAAGCCAGCCGTGGGATTCGGCTCCTTGCCGGCTGATTCGTCCGCGGTGGGGTCAACCGACATTCGCCTGCCATTCCTGCCAGTCGCGTATAGACAGCGGTCCTTTTCGGCGCTTTTTTGGCAGCCGGTGCATACTGGGAAAAGGACCTTAGAACGCCTGCTGGTTGTATAGAGCATGGAGGCTCACCTGGGCGGGCAGCATCGCATTTCATCTTTTTCCGGCGACATGGTTCGCAGGCGGTTGCGACTTTCTGGCGCTTCCTGGTGGGGCCTTCCATACCTCGAGGCGATGCCCTTTGGTCTTTTGCAGATGGGTTTAATAGATCCGCCCCCGGTGTGACGGTGGTCAGGGCCACGTGACCGAGGGAGCAGACGGCACTCGGCACTCGGCACCAGCGGAGCGACAGCCAATCAGGTGCCGGTCCGGTCCAGACCACACGGACCGTCTTCCGATTGGTCGCCCGGCCATGACGGGGGACTTATAAGTACTTCCAAGTACTTCAGGATTGAACTCCAAATGAGAGACGAGGGGCAGGCCATCTCCTGGAATCTGCCGATTTGCTGAACATGCAGTCCTACCTACAGTACCGAAGGATTCATCAAGCGGTGAAACATCACTATGACGGATCGTCCCAAGAGGATGGGGACCGTGAGGGCAAGTCGAATTCTCCTCCCTCACCACACTGGCTGGAGGAAGGAATCCTTTGCTGACCGCCGCATCTTTCAAGACTGCAAGGGCAACCTCCCAGCGGCAGAGCCCTCGATTTGTGTCGTCCAGTGGGATGAATATGATGCGCACCTGAACCCTCGCCAGTATAGTCCCTGGCGGAAGGCAGCCATGACAGCGTTGGTCTCCTTGATCGGGCTTTCGTGCACCGCAGCATCCGCCATTGACTCGGCGGGAGTGCCTCAGTATAGTGAGTACTGGGGGGTCTCCCCCGTCGTGGGATCCTTAACCACGGGTACGCACCCATCCGCCTGGCCGGCCTCCCTCCCGTGTGGAACTTGGTACTGAGCCGGATAGCTTTATTCATGATCGGATTCGGCCTTGGATCCTTCATCTCAGGGCCCTTTTCCGAGACCTTCGGCCGCAATATCGTCTACATGGTGACCATGGCCGTCTTTCTAATCTTTATCATGGCCGCGGGACTGGCCCCGAATCTTCCCAGTCATCTGATTTTTCGATTTCTGGCCGGATTATTTGCAGCCACGCCACTGACCTGCGTCGGAGGAACGGTTGCCGATCTATGGGATCCTCTGCAGAAAACATACGGGTTCATCATCTACACCATCCCCGCCTTCAATGGTCCTATGATCGGACAGGTAATTGGAAGCTACCTCCCTACTACACTAGGATGGCGGTGGTTGGAATGGATCATGCTCATCTTTGGCGGCCTGATGTTCACCATCATGGTTTTCTTCCAGCAGGAAACCCACCAGGATCTTCTCTTGACCTGGAAGGCGGCCGCTGTCCGGAAATACTCCGGGCAACCGCATTGGCGCGGACCCATCGAGGTGCGCCAAGTGTCTCTCGCACAACGGCTGAAGATTGCCCTATCCCGACCCTTTGCGTGGATCCTCACCGAGCCCATCATAATCCTCACTTCGCTCTATCTGATCGCCATCTATATCATTCTCTTCCTCTTCTTGGAGGGATATCGATTCATCTTTGAACAAACATATCACTTTTCCCAAGGCTTGAACAACATCACCTGGATCGCCATGTTCATCGGTTCCGCCATGATTACCATCCAAGTCCCATTTATCTGGCGGATTACCAAAAACCAGCAAAAGAACCTGGGTCGGATCCGACCTGAAACCAGACTCTGGTATGCCATGCTCGGTGGAGCCCCCGCTATACCGATCAGTCTATTTTGGATGGCCTGGACGAGCTACGTGCGTAGAACTGCATCCCCCCCCCCCCCTTTCCTCCCAAAACACAACCCATCAACTAATATCCATCTATCTTCTCTTCTAGCCCCACATCAGCGTCTGGTCCCCCATCATCGCATCAGCGATGTTTGGCTTCGGCATCACCACCGTCTTTGTCAGTGCACATTTATATGTTATCGACGCCTACGAGCAAGAAGCTGCATCTGCGTTTGCCATGGTCGTGATGCCCCGATATCTAGCATCCGGTGGAATCACCGTCGCCGGGGGAC